TAAATATTAGGAGTTACAGGTTAATGATGATAGAAATTGCGAAAAAACAAGAATGAAGGAAGACTTGTCAGTTAATTTTAAAGTTTAATTACTTAGTTTGCATTTTAGCACCTACCTAGTAAATATATAAAATAAGAAATAGGTCAGAATATTATGAGTGATTAGGATATCAAACCAGAGTGCAATGTCTCCTTGCAGTCTTAGTGATATACATCTTTTTGTTCAGAGTTCTGGAGATATCCTCGGGGGCGGACATCCGGGCATTTTCACCGCCTGGCAACCTGCGGCGGTGAAAACAAAGGCCCAAAACTCGCAGAAAACGGTACTTCGGGATGATTGTTGAGACTCCTCTGAACAGTGTAACAAGATTAGTCCTACGTGTGTAACATATATAAATTTGGTTGTTCGGGATTACTTCAAAGTTGAGTTTGTGTTGTTTTCTCGAATTTTCACCGGCTCCACCGGCGTTTCACAGCAGCGCGCACAGAGCCCATAGAAATGCATGTACAGTGGTGCGCGTCTTAGCAATGTGGAACGTCTTGTGACGTAGCTCCGCCCCCGTGGATAGAGAGCGAATGTAAAGCCACATTAATAAAAATAATTGTTTACTGTTGAAATTCTAGTATAAAAATAACAGTCAGATACTTCATGGATGCATACATTCACAATTATATCATTTAAAATAAAACTAATTTAAAATTAGTCTAGTGTATATTTTGAACACATTTTCCCATATTATATACAGCGAAATGAATAAAAATCTACCGCATGTGACTGCCCATGTATTGTTAGGCTGAATAAAATAAATCCAGTGTTTTTGATAACCCTACCATACTAAATTTTTGTGAATGAATAAAGAATATATATTGAGCCCAAAATTACTTATTTCTATGCTGTGGTTATTCTACTAAGGTTGTATTTTTCGGTTTTCTTTTCTTCCTTCTATGTCATGAATAACTAGTTGTGTAAAGGAAATGCATAAACTAATTTTAATGTCATTTTTACACATCTGTAGTCTAAACACGAATACATGTATTATATTCTAGCAATAACCAAAGAGTACACCTCATTAGAAAAAATAAACAAATTTAAAAACCAACTTTTTTTTAGGTAAATTCTGAAAAAGGTGACAAATTTTACAACATACTGTAAAATACTTTATTTTCGCTTAGAACTAATTTCCGCTATTTTCCCTTGAAGGGCGGCATTTGTGTTGATAAACACTGATTCTCCCACAATCCAATGAGTTCTTCTAATGGAAATCACAAGTCTGAGGTTTGACCTGGGCGCGATTAGAACTATTTACCGCCAGTGACTCCTTCGGTACTTTCCAATCACCAAAAAAATACCCAATTAAAGCTTTGTAATGTTTCAGTTTGTACTCGTTGATCTGCTCAACAGTCAGAGCGGCCATCTTTATTTATACAAGACCCATATCTCTTGCGCGACGACTACCGCCCTTTAAGGAATTATTCAGTGAAAATAAAATCCAGTGAATATATCTTTTGTCCATATTTTACATTGAACTCATAAAAAAATCAGTGAAAATAAATTTCATACAAAGCACCCCAAAAAGTCCATTCGGCAAAAAATAATTCCAGCTAAAATAAAGTCTTTTACAGTAAGTCAATTATTAGTCATGTAACCCTAGGTGGTACAAGTGCATGACTCGGCTCATAGTATAAGAACGAATTATTGCATATATTCAATGTAAAAATAAATTACAGCTGTATCTCATACATTAAAATATACGAGGGACAGCAGAATTGAAATTCTATAGACGGATGTAATTATTATTATGAAATCAGACATGTGGTTGTTTTAAATCATCAGACTCACATGATGCAAATATTCAAATGATGAGCTTAGATGAATTCCACAGAACTATGACTTCAAAGTTTGAAAATAGAACATAGCGTAACTATTACAACCTTGCCATTACGATTCTAGATATTTATTAATAAAGCATTTTGCAATGCACAGCCCCTGTTGTGTAATATTTAGAGGTTATAATGGTTATTATAATACATATGTCACCGTAATGCAATAAGTTACAGCATGCCGTAATTTTGCTGTATTTTACAAGGTATTTTCATCCTACCATAATAAGGAAATGCGAATTCCAAATATGGAATGATTACGCGCATAAGCGTACTCGAGTATTCCCACGATGTATTCTTGGAAGGAAAAGATGTATAATAATAAGGTTATTACGAGGATACCTCAAAGTATGCACGAAGACAGTACGTCACCCCATCTACTTCTATCGTGGATGCTCATCCACATGTGTGTTTCCTGATTCATTAATATTACTTGTTGTTTATTCAGTTTTATTCTTTCGTATTCGTAATTAAGTGATATTATTAGACTATATTTTACTGTATCTTTTCGTCTTTATTTTATACAATTCCAAGCTATATTAGTTGAGATACAACAATTGAAAGTTGTTACATGCCTGAAACTATACCGTAATGCATGTATCTCTATTGTAAAGAAACACAGATTCAGTTTACATAAGCCATTTAATAATAATCAACAGACAGCACAAACGCAATAGGAATCAGTTGCAAGGTCGATTTTAAGACGATGTATCAATATTGAAAACCTATCACTGTGTCTCCCTCTTATTTTAATCCATAGGTGTGAATCCTACTGAACCTTATAAAAGGGGCATTCTATTGTGTATTCATCAGTTACCTTCTTGTTACATTGTAGTTTCTTTGTTGTAACATTTCCATAATAAACAGTGTATTGTTTAAATGTACATTACGCTTCCTTTATTGTAACTCTACGATCCAATGCATGCAGTTTGAACCTGATCGAATGTGAGCGAATATCACCCACAACTTCCTCTGCGCGTCGGTCGATACTCCCACAGTACTGTCTTCATGCATACTTTGAGGTATATATAACCTCATATTATCTTCTACCAAATATGCTAATTTCCCCCAGATTATAGTTTTTGTATCCACTACCAAAAGCCAGAGCGTACCATTGATAAAATTATTAAAACATGCTTCATAAGTAACAAGCCACAAAATAGCTGTTTATATAACGTTGCTGTGTGTGTAAATTCCCAATTCTTGGATTAAACTATTGTAAGGGCTGACGAACGGCCACTGTTTTTTTTTTACGAACACCTAATAATGCTATAATTCCACAAATGTAATTCCTTGATTTGCAATATTTATATTGTGTTATACAAAATGTATAATGATTGCCAAGTGCATTTTGAGTTTTATGTGCGTAAACTGGCTTCTAATACATTTTCAGGGGTGACAGTTTACTAGCCACTTAGTGCACATTGTACATTTCATATTAAAATTTGTGGGTCAAAATGCATTAAATAGAATTTACGCATAGTTGGGTGAGGTGCATGACAGAATTAAAATGGCAGTCAATCAGCCACTAGTGTTTCAATCTTGAAAAGAATAAGACATGCACCTGTAACCTGTAATATGCATATCCCGGTACAAAGTTGAAACAAAATCACCCTGTTCATCTTCAATAAATGTCTGGACATGTTCATGTCTGAGAATTTAGCAAATTTGTCTGTGAAGACAAGTTATTGCGACACAGAAATCAGGTTGATCAACATCCATATCTACCATGCTGGAAGATTCCACAATAAACAGTGCAGATTTATAGAAGAGATTAAAGTTAATCGACTGAGACGTACTGAGATTAATTGAAACAAGGTGTCATTTTAACATACAGACGGAGGAATTTATAAATTTCACTGGGCCTTGTAGCGATGTCATCACCCTCTGAAGTATATTTTTTTGCATAGAGATTGGAAGCAACACCGATGAATTATAACACTGTACTGAAGTGATAGACATTATTGCATTCAATGCAGGATCCCGCATTATGTGTGAAAGCAAACATAAAAACAGGACAAACAAAAGTCATAGCATCTTTAGAGGCATCAAAACATCGTGTGGGATACAACAAACATGAAATTATGTGTGGGGTATTTACATGTACATGCTTAATAATGTACACAATTGATGATGGTAAACTTTGATGAAGTAAGTGTATCGCAACATCATATTCTAATAATGAAAGCTCAGCATTTTAACATTGACAATAAAAAAAGCAATTCAATTTCAATTCATTTGATTTGTACAGTATATAGACACTTGGTCTATGCTTTTTATGCATTATGCAAGATCTCAAAGTGAACGGAAAATAATCTATTTGGTGAACACACTGTAAGCAAAGAATGTCAGCTGATACTCACAGTCTAATTTTTCATCCAGAGTTCCCCTTGATGTAACTGATAATGCACAGATAAATTCTTTAAATGTAATATAACCATCCTAAAACAGAGAAAAACTCATTTATATGAGTATATTTTGTGGAGCATCACAACTTAACAGGGTTTTAGAGGATAAACCCAATTTACTTTTTGATCAAAAGATCAAAATTTGTCAATGTTTATCAACATGTAATACATATTTATACATTACCTTGTCGGAATCAAAAACGTTAAATACAAAATTAGCAAACTTGGATGGGTCTCCATTTGGAAAAAACTGCTGGTAAATTGTCTGAAATTCCTACAAAAGAAAGAAAAAAAGTGACTTAAAATTTACATCAAGAAATGATAATCAAGTAAAATAAGTATGCTAATTTTCCAAGATTTGCTATTTGATATACAATATCCCGTGTGTTCAAGACTGAAAGAGTATACATTACCGGTACTACGAATGTGATTGTTTAGACGATTCAGTTACAGACACCATTCAACGTAATTATTTCTGTTGTTCACAGTTGTGCACCTGCGTGCAGTTGAAAGATTTTCATGACAATTAAGATGGCACATTTAGATGCCATAGATTAATTTATGTAACATTACATCTCTTACTGGATGCCTACAAAGAAATCCAATGATGACTTTGCATATGCAACATTTCTGTCGATATTTTGAGTTAAGTTTTGCCATCATAATCACAATAGTTTGGAACGAGAGCGAGGCTATGATTGTTAACACATATCAGCCAAAAGACAGGTAATTCCTTAAGAGAAATGCCTCAAATTATACACGTATACCCTACCACAAGGTAATGCAACCGAAGTGCATGGACTAAATAAAAATACACACAGAAAAGCAAATAAGTTGAATAAAATAATATTGTGAAATACTTTATTGTAGCTGAAAAGACATTTTGGGTGTTTTGTATGGAATTTATTTTCACTGATTTTTGACGAGCTGAATGTGAAATATAGAAAAAAAGGTGTAATCGCTGAATTTAATTTTCAGTGAATCATTCCTTCAGCGAAAATAGCGAAAATTAATTCCAAGCAAAAATAAAGTATTTCAGAGTAATATCTAGACAATTCATTTCAAGCTACTAGTATTTCCTTCTACCCTCAATCAATCAAACAATGTTTCCTGCAAGTTTAATACACGTTTGTTTTATTCAACAGAAGTTCATGTAATATTTTGTGTGTTGCATCACATCTATGTCATATTCACAAGGAAGTGACATGTACGCAAAGAAGAATTGGTCAACAAATTTAAGTTGTGGTGATTTTCAAAATTGTTTTTGTTTCCACTTCAATGAAGCGAATATTTCTTCTGAGTGGAATTATGGAGATCATGACAAATTGCTGCTCATCTTCTATCTGAGTTGTGCTACAGATAATAGATATCTCAAATTTGCAAGGATAAAACTATCAGACTTACATTTTTGTTGATGATGCTGGAAATAGCTCACATGAAATAACCATTAATGCCATTAAGATATAGCCAAATGGTTATTTGACAGGAAAAACCATGTACATAAAGCCAGGGCCAATAATGATAAAATCTCTATAAGTAGTACATTGTATAATCTGCTAAAATGATAGTGACAACATGAGTCTACATGTAGACATCAGGGATTACTATTCAGAAATGTGTCGCATTCCAATTAAAATTAGCTTTATTTTCAGTTGATTATTTGTCTGTCAAATTATGAACTATATCCACATGTACATGCAGGAACACATACATTGTGTACAGCATGAATTGCTGAAATGTTCATGTTGTGAAGAGATTTTGCAAAATGTTTAATCCTAGTGTTAACCCTATTCTTGCATATTGTAACTCTAAACATTTCTTGTATACCAGATTTTCATTCCCACTAATAAACCATAGGGGTTGTCGTTTGATTAGATGGGGAAGGAAGTAGAAGTTTTGCATTGTGTATGTTAAAATTGTAATACAAAACTAGGCAAAACATGACAGATAAGAATGATTGTAAAACATTGTAAACATGATACCAAAACAAGCATGTGGAATGTGGAACAGTTACTGGTGGTATTTGTTGCATTCAACTAATGATCGGTACACCTAAGTTGAAATCCTACCTGGGGATGAACACTAAAAAGGATCAACCTCCATCCCGGGAGAGTGTGCCACAGACTCAATGGGCAGGCTAAAACCACTGGCTGTGATTCATTTTCTAATGGATGCAAATTTGAGGGAACCTTGGTTTATTGGGTTGCAGGTGCTTGTGTTTGAACCCGGTCTTGTTGATGCCAGAATAACATATTGAATCACTTGTGTTAGAGAGATGGCCGCATATGACTGTCATGTAGTCCCAAACATCAGTAAAGTTTCCTTGGCAAAATGCACTGTAGTCAACACTGGCACTTGCAATTTGAGCATAACAAAAAATGTCAGGAGAGACAACAGTGGAATTCAGTGTTTAGAACTGTTGCCTGGCTCAAAAATTAATTTTAAAAAAAGTAGAAATGCACAGGAAAGTACAATGTATGTCAAAATGCAAAATGAAATAATATAATTTGTACACATACTTTTCAAAATTTTGCATATATTCACAAAATGTTTTTGAGAGGAAGAGGGATTGGAATCAGTTTTAATGACAGATTGCCTCTTAGATGAAAATGGCCGCCCAGATCATTTAAAGAGAAATTGAGCCACAAGATTTATTTTTGCTGCGGAAAGTGAATCTTGTACTGGTGGTGAAATTCTGATGGAATTACATAGAGTGAATCTTGTACTGGTGGTGAAATTCTGATGGAATTACATAGAATGAATCTTGTACTGGTGGTGAAATTCTGATGGAATTACATAGAATGAATTTTGTACTGGTTGTGAAATTCTGTGTGAATTACAATGTACAGCCATTCTAGATGAAGACAGCTTCACTGTGTTGAAAAAACTGACATATTTTGTTTGAAGTGACTTTTAATACAATAGTGCACATTGTACAAATGTATCAATTCCTGGTTTGTATACATACATGTACATACTTGAATGTTAATTTTTTCATTAATATTTATGACAAGGAACCTGGTTTGTTGATGCATCTTGCATTCCCTCCATCTTCAATATAATCTCATATTTAAGTCAAAAGGCTTAGCTTGCCAGCTGTCTGAGAAGAATTGATGTACATGCATGTATACAAAACCTAATACCCTCATATGTTATGAAACACTGACAGTTTGAGCATGATGTGACTCACATTGAAACACTGGCAGTCTGGGCATGATGTGACTGTTACACTGAAACACTGACAGGTTTGGCATGATGTGACTCACATTGAAACACTGGCAGGTTTGGCATGATGTGACTCACATTGAAACACTGGCAGTCTGGGCATGATGTGACTAACATTGAAACACTGGCAGTCTGGGCATGATGTGACTGTTGCATTGAAACACTGACAGGTTTGGCATGATGTGACTCACATTGAAACACTGGCAGTCTGGGCATGATGTGACTGTTGAATTGATACACTGACAGGTTTGGCATGATGTGACTCACATTGAAACACTGGCAGTCTGGGCATGATGTGAGTCACATTGAAACACTGACAGTCTGGGCATGATGTGACTGTTGCATTGAAACACTGACAGGTTTGGCATGATGTGACTCACATTGAAACACTGGCAGTCTGGGCATGATGTGACTGTTGAATTGATACACTGACAGGTTTGGCATGATGTGACTCACATTTAAACACTGGCAGTCTGGGCATGATGTGAGTCACATTGAAACACTGACAGGTTTGGCATGATGTGACTCACATTGAAACACTGGCAGTCTGGGCATGATGTGACTGTTGCATTGAAACACTGACAGGTTTGGCATGGTGTGACTGTTGCATTGAAACACTGATGGGTTTGGCATGATGTGACTCACATTGGGCATGGTGTGACAGAAGTGTCTACATACAAAACAGTACAAACTTTTAGTGTTGCAGTATAAAATACACAACTATTGGTTTACATGCGCTTCTATTGCAATAGAACAAATACAGAGTTTTTTTAAATGTCAATCAGTTATTAATTTTAGTAATGTATTGGGCAATCTTATTTTGTAAAGGCAAAGGTTATCACAATCTCTAACAGAAATTTAATTTGTCATTTTATCTTATTTTTAATCTCACTTTATATCAGTTATTAAATAATCAATATGATGGAAAGGGATTATGTTGAGTAGTACTGAAACATTATTATTATCACTCAGAAAATGCAATAGTGTTACAAGAAGGGAAATATTGAGAAATTGTTTTCGGCAAAGATTTTGTAAGTTGTTTGAACAAGATCTTGTCTAGTAATGAGTCTCAAAAGAATATCAGCTACTACGAGTATCATGTACATGTACCATCATAAAACATAATCACTATAAATAATATTATACAATTTAACTGACATCAAATGTAACAGCATTCTCAGTTCATAAATAATATATATACACCGGTACTTGTATATAGTATAGAAATGTACAGTGTAATTAGGAATATTAAACATTGTGTATATGTTATGTCGATCAATGGGAGACAAGATGAATAAAGTGGGTGGACGAATTATACATAATACATGTATCAAAAAATACAGACTGTACATGTAGTGTATGAATTATTTAATCAAGCAAACTGAAAAGTAATGAAAGGACGAATGATATCCACCTCAACAGTTACCCAGTTATTATTGTAATTCATATTGAGATACTATGCAATATGACATACATGCATGTTTGCGTGTATTTTACATATACTTACATGTACATTGTACAATGCAGTAGTTGCGAAATTTAATGTCAAAAACTGTGGGTAATTAATTGTTTTTTAATTAGTATTAGTCATGACACCAACAAAACTGTTTGTTTTTTCATTGGTCATTATTTGAACATCAATTTTCTCCACCTGAGTTGACAACATAACAAATATGTTAAAATATAAAGAAACACATATAACAAGTCACAAGGAACATGCAGTCATTTAGCTATCCCATCTAAGAGCAAGTAAAATTTATGTTTGGGTTATTACTCCAAAGCATAAAGATCCCAAAACAGATTTACTATTACAGATAAACCCAAGTTACGATAACGCATTCTCTAGTATGGTTGAGAAATTCATCTAATAATCAAGATAAAAAAAAAATGTCTGGTTTGAATTATATTTACATAAACAATAAACTATATATTGATGATGCATGTGATAAAATTGTCTAAGCTCTAGAGGGATGTGACAAAGCATTACAAATGCTGTATTGTCAGCTATATTTTATTTATTGTATATGCTTGATATTAATGATATATGAA